TAGGGATCATCCCATCTGCCCGGTACAGACAGTAGAGGGGCCCTGTAAGCAGGTGATGCTGCATATGATGTTGGTAGAGTTACAAGTGAATGAATCTCAGATATTATTTGGTCTAGTGATGATGTAGGCGTATTGATGTTGAGGCACAGAAGGCATCTGGGCCCATTGCAAGGCCTGGTGTCTCAGTGAGACTGGCCACAGTAATGTCTTCAACCTATCCAACCACAGTCAGCTCAGCGGAGGTGTCTATTATCCCGTGGTCTTTCTGCCCTATTTCACAACTCGATACAGTAAAGCTGCATGGAGAACTTGAGCCTTTTTACTGCTGCCCAAGACTAAGGAAATATTTCCATGACAAGGAGCCATGCAATGACCAACCTAACACAGACCAGACGTAGATACAGGACAAAGTGGCCAGGTCACGGACTCTGAGTGCTGCAGCCCCGTTCTGGACCTGTACAGGAACTGCTTCTACTTCCCTGCCCACCCTGAGATTTGCAAAAACATAAAATGTACATTACAACCTCAGTCCTGCAGAACAGAAAGCCATACTCAGCCTTCAAAAGAACCCATGATACTAATATGATACTATTATCACACAACAGGCTGATAAGGTGGGTACCAATGTTGTCAGAGTCAAAACAGTGTACATACAGGAAGCTGAGACAATTTTTCAACACAGCTTTACAAACTCCTAGTAGGACCCCATGGCATACCACCAGAAGAAACTCAATAAGCTCTTACTGGATCTACCTTGGGAAACAAAGGAGAAGATTGTTGCTTGTTTTTAAGGTAAGTTATAAAAACAAAACCACCTTGGCAGTAAGTAGACTATAAAATGGGGCGAATAAAAAAAGGTTGTGGCAAGCACTATTTCAAGATGACAAAGGATGGAGATAAATCCTTCCTTCAAAAAAGTTTACTTTTCACAGAGACAAATCCCATCTAATTGACACTTTCCAAATCTATAGAAAAAATGGTTAAATCCACTTCCTCAAGCCTTCGTGAAATAAAGAAAATGCAATCAAAGAATGCTTTAGAATTAGCTATGTATAAAACTGGGATATAGACTAGAGGGATAACCAGAGAATTCGAGACAATTCAGGTTGATCTGTTGCCAGTGTGTGCGCCACCATCCTCATGCTCTTGAGCCATCTCAGCCAGTGTAAGCAATAATCTGTATTGTGTTGTCAAAAGTAGACAAGCAGATAACTGGGTCATGTTTATTCTTGTGCTTTGTATGCAAACAATAAAAGGTTAGGTTGTAGACCCCTTTCTTGCATCTCATCAACAGCCAACCTACCAAACACCTGTTGTCCAGATAATCCCAGTGGCTTCCCTGGGTGCCAGCTGCTGTCTGATGGGAGGTTGTTCGTACCTCTCTGCTTCTTTGCATGGTACATCACAGGTGATGCTTCTTCTGGGTCAGTAATCTGACTTGGGAGGTAGCAACCCCTCCCCCACACACACTAAAAGGAAATGGAGAACCATGTCAAAGGAGAAGTTATCCAACAATGGGGGCAAGATATGGAAATGGGGTATATACATTCCCCAAACCTGTGTACAATGGGATGAAGTGAATTAAAAACAGCAAGACACTGGGGATATACAGAAAACAGACAACTCACCTTAAGGACTTGAATATTCCTTAAAGTTTGTCAGAGTACTGGCAAGGTACACGTCCTCGTCAGAGGGGTTCAAAGTGTTGCAGCAGAGCTATAAGCCCAAATGAAGCCACATGCACAATGACAGGACAACATTCTGCCTTTATACAACAGAGTTAACTGAGATGTGAGCCATACGCTTCAGAGGCTTGACTAGGAATGTGGGTGTTCTGGGAAGAGATTCTGTTAAGAATCAGACAGAAGAAGATAGATGGAGAGGGTGGGGGGCAATGCTGGAAAACAGAAGGGGAGGGAAGGCAGGGAGCCATGGGGGTGCCACAAGAGCCCCACACCTGAACCCCAGCAGACACAGCCACTACCTTCGTGCTCCCCAATCCTAGCTCAGAAGGTCCAGACCCCTAGCCCTGCCCTGCTCTGACCTAGCCAATGGCTGGGAGAGACCACTGCCCCTACCCATGCAAGAAGGCTCAATTCGCCAGTGGGATAACTGCACAGTAGCCCAGAGCCAGCCACAGCAGGGAGAGGGAAAGTGCTGTCTCCCATAGTGCCCTTAGGCCAACATGGGTCAGAGAGAGGGGTGCTGCTGGTACCCCTCACCCTGCAATGAAGTTAATGCATCAGACAGAGGGGGCTACTCTGGGTGTCAGGTTGGTAAGTGTCGATGCCCAGCACCAGTGGGACAGCAAAACCAACTGTTAAATTAAGTGACTGGAAACATGGAGCATTTAAACTGCAGTTATCACTGATGGGTGTCACTGGGGACAGGTTAAAGACTGCTCGCCTGAAGTGACAGAACAAGTGAATTGGAAAAAAAAGGCACAAAACTTTCCAAGTTGCTTCAAAACCCTTGTTAAGAAAAGTGATCGGGCAGGGCAGGCTGTGCTGCAGACATCCCTGACCAGTGACACAGGAGAGTAAAATGTAACCTGGCATGGAAAGGGCTTGTGCTATGCTGCAAACACACAATTTAAGTTATAAGGGAAAGAAACAAGACTCCCTGTATCAAGAACTAAAAATGCTGTCGAAAATCCCAAAGGCAGGAAAGGAATCATGCTAAAAATACCAAAAAGTTAAAATTACACAACCTGCAGCCACCTCCATGCTTTTGAACAGTAAGTATTACAGGATCATAGGAAAGCAGGGCTGGAAAGAACTACAATCCTCTCTCAAGGCAGGAGCATCCCTGACCAAACCATCCCAGCCAAGTGTCTGTCCAAACTGCTCTTGAAAACTCCCAAGGATGGAGAATCCACTTCTCTAGACAGCCTGTTCCAATGCTTGACCCCACCTCGGTCAGAAAGCTCCTCCCAATCTTCAACCTAAAATTCCCCTGCTGAAGGTTGAGGCCGTTGCCTCTAGTTCCGTTGCCTATGACCACACAAAAAAAAAGCCCATCTCCACCCTCTCTATAATCACTCTTCAGGTATTTGAAAACTGTTATCAAATCCCTCCTCAGTCTTCTCTTCTCCAAGCTAAATAACCATAGCTCTTCCAGACTTTCTTCACGAGACTTGCTTCCCAAGCCACTAACAGGCCAAATTCCTCTCCTCTCCTCATGTGTTAAGCTGAATTTTCTGTGTTCTGGGACAGTGGAACTTAGCAATTTGAGCCAATCTGCTTCTAGAAGGGTATTTGATAGACAGCTTCTCAATTCTCACAGGGAAGAGTTTCCTGCCTCCATCACCTTGTCCTGAATGCAGCTTTCCCAGCTCTCCCCCCAGCATACACTCTGTTATCAAGTTAACTGAATGAAAAAAATTCCCATGCACTTTAACCCCATGGTATCCAGACAAGATTTTTTCCATGAGAAGAGCGTGAATAGACTAAGACATAACCACATATTAGCAGGTCATAGGTAGAAGGAAAAAGTTTGTTCAGTGCTACTATGAGCACAGCTACAACTGCAGCAGGTTCATCATTCAATAAGGACATTAGATGATCAGAATTTGACCCTGACCTCAGCTTTTAAGTTTAAAACCAAGCTTTAGTCAATTATAGACTCCACTGACAGTGGCTGTGTTTCAGGCTTCCTAGCAGATGCTGCTGTTTTGTTCTCAACTTTTGTCACTGTCTCCCTAAGAGAATTAGCATTGGCTTCAGGACCCCTGTGGTCTCCCTGTGTCCCATATCCCTTGAGGCCCTTCAGTCACAGGTACTTCTGGCCCCAGCTCCTGCTCCTTTTCATGACAGGCACGTGGAACAAAGTCGCCATTTTGTTTGCGGTGTCATTGCATGAGAGGAACACCATGGGCAGCCCCCAGCTGAGCTGGACTGGGCTGTGCCACAGCCTAGATGGAGTGGGTTTGGAGGTGTGGGGGAGCACAGCCTGGAGCTGATCCATTGAGTAGGGCTTGTTGAGAAGAGAAGCAAGGAAAGCTTCAAAATATTTCCCATTCCAGAACTATAACCTCAGGCTGGACCTTGCTGCTGGAAAATCTCCATTCTCTAAGCTGTTTAGCATTATAGTAAAAGCCCCTGCTCCTCAAAGGCACTGGCAGTTCTGTCACGATCTTTTCATCCTGGTGTGTGCCTTATTTTCTCTACCTTGTTGGTATGCTGTTTGGCCCTGAGAAGGAAAGGTTAACTTTCACACTGGACAAGGTGGGGGGCACTAGTTACAGCAGATAATAGGCCATCAGGAGAGGAGTTAGGGCTGTTTCCCTCTGGAAGGATCCCATGAGGACAGAGAAGGAGCACAATGATTGGGGGCTGCTTACAGGGATAAGTGCCCAGAAGTGGGGATCCAGGGAAATCAGCCCTGAGGGTGGCACTCCTGCCACTATGAGTAGAAAACGATTTCTCAGGAATGGAGCCTGTCATAGCTTAGCAGTTGAGAGGGAGACAGCAAGAGAGGCTGTGACCCAAAAGCCCTCTCTCTCCATCCAAGATGTCACAGGTCTCACCTTGACTACAATCCATGTGTGTCGCTGGCTTTCTGGATGCGCAGGAGACAGGGGTCAGGTATGGGATACAGGAATAATCTAGGAGACATTTCCAGCCTCCAGGTGGGTCTGGGAAATAAAGTGTCCCTGAAAGCCATAAGGGTGGCAGTTAGTCAGCAGCCTCTGTTGGCTCAGCCAGAGGCTAGGCCATCTTAAGATGGTAGGAAAAGGTTAACCTCCTAAAGTCCCCCAAACTGAGCTCTGTTTGAAGATCAGAACTGTCCAGGAATGTAGCAGTTATTAACAACTCAAGAGGACCAGGAGTTACCTGAAAGGATGAATGGGCCTAGAATTGTCATGTAAAAAAGTGCAAGCAGAAGAAATATTCAAGGGTCACCTCACTGCGTACAGCTAGGATTGGATGACTGAAGGTATGTCATCTGGTTTCACAGGGATTTTGGGCTTGATACCTTGGTATTTATTTCCTGTGCCAATTGGTTCCGTCAGCCAAGTAGAAGTGCATAGTCTTTTTTGATTTCTACTCCTCCCTTGAAACTGCAGCAGTGAAGCTGGAAGAAATATCCCTGGATGCTACAATAAGGGCTACCTACCTGGAAGAAACTAGGGCCCCTGCAGTGTAGCCCTGAGCCCACTTGATCCCTCTCTCCCAACTGCAGATCGTAAACCCCAGTACAGCCTGTTTAAGAGACTCCTAGGCCAACACTCCTATCCCCAACGTCTAGTGAATGAGGAGGTGGGAGCATTTCAGGACAGGTGCTGGAACCTCTTCCTCCCTCTACTTCAGGGCACAGGTTGTGGGGAGGAAGATGAGACTATAGCTGGCAAAAACAGTCCTGTGTCATTTGTGAGGTTCTAGCCTGTGGGTGCGCTGGTGCTTGGTGAGAACAGAGCTCTGCCGGAAGCTCTTCCCACACTGCGTGCAGTGAAATGGTTTCTCCCCGGTGTGGATGCGCTGGTGGACACGCAGGTGGGACAGGTCTTTAAAGTTCTTCCCACACTCCCCACAGTGGTATGGCTTCTCCCCAGTGTGGAGGCGCTGGTGGACCTGGAGATGAGAGGAGTGGTTGAAGCTCTTCCCACAGTCTGCACAGTGATAGGGCTTCTCCCCAGTGTGGGTGCGCTGGTGTTCAGCAAGAGACGTGCTCTGCCGGAAGCTCTTCCCACACTCCAAACAGTGGTATGGCTTCTCCCCTGTGTGCACACGCATGTGGACTTGGAGATGGGACAGGCGGACAAAGCTCTTTCCACATGCCATGCAGCGATATGGCTTCTCCCCAGTGTGCAGGCGCCGGTGGTCTCGCAGGTGGTCGGGGCGGGCAAAGCTCTTTGCACACACGGGGCAGCCATATGGCTTCTCCCCTGTATGGAGGCGCCGGTGGTCTCGGAGGTGGTCAGGGCGGGCGAAGCTCTTCCCGCACGTGGCGCAGCAATAGGGTTTCTCGCCCGTATGCACGCGCAGATGTGTGCGGAGGTTGTCCGGGCGAATGAAGCACTTCCCACACTGGCCACAGCAGTGCGGCTTCTCCCCAGTGTGTATGCGCACATGGTCCTGGAGATGGTCAAGACGAGCATAGCCCTTCCCACACACACGGCAGTGATGCGGCTTGTCTCCAGTGTGTAGGCGCTGGTGGTCGCGGAGATGGTCTGAGCGGATGAAGCCCTTCCCACACTCCCGGCAGAGGTGGGGGCGCTCCCCTGAGTGCATTCGTTGGTGCTCAATGAGACGGTATTTGTACCAGTAGCTCTTCCCACAATCAGGGCAGGAGTAGGCTGTTTCCCTTCTGTGGACTGCACTGCGCACCCTGAGCTTCTGTTGGTCCTTGACGCTCTCACCACATTTATAGATCGACTCCCCTGTGTGAGTGCTGCCCTCCTGGCTTCTCAGGTTTCTTTGCCCCTTGAATCCTTTCCTGCACACAAAAGTCTTCCGGGACTCAGCTATTTTCTGTCCCCACTGCACAGGGAGCTGATTTCTGGCTGGAACCAGCTCCAAGTGTGCAGGCCCATCCTCAGGAGGCTGCTGCTCAGCTCTGCTCAGCATCTCAGCACCTGCTGGGTGGAGAAGAGAACTCATAGATTAGTCCCTGTCCTTGTGGCAAAGGGAAATTCCTGTTCTTGTGCTGGGGTGTGCTCAGAGTAGGGCCCAGCCTTGGGTTCTCTGTGAGAATAAGAGATCCAATTCCAAATAGTCCTCATGCTGCAGGTGGAGAGGCAGGTCAGTGCACTATGTTCATGTTCCCTAGTAAATTCTGTGGATTCAGTTTCCCTGTGGTTCATTCCCAAATCCAAGCCCCATCTGAATGGAGAGAACCACATCCCCTTGGACCTCTTGCAGAAAGATACATGTGTGATGTGTATAATGGCACAGGATCTGAATGGCTCCGTGTTCTTTAGGGCTGAGGGTGAGACCAAAGGCCAGATTCCCTGCTTTAAGGAGAAGCAAGGCTCTGAGGGCTCCTCTCCACCACAGCAGTAGGGGATCTCAGGGAAGAGGGTACTCCCCACCCAACCAAGCTTGCTGCCATGCTCCAGACCCAGAAGTTCACCTGTGGCTGGTTCCTGGGCCCATCCTAAGGATTATTACCAACTTCTCAGTCTTGAGGACAACATCTGGAAAGTATGAAAGAGCTTCACTGGAAAGCTTCTGGGTCTGGCATGCATCAGCAGACGTAGATATGTGGGCCATGCTGAGCATTGCCATTTCTGGGACAAACCACTGCTATAGTATAAGTACATCCTAAGGGCTCCTGAGATTAATGAGAGAAGTTAACTATGTCATCCCTCACAGAAATATTCTGGGAGGCATGAACGATGTGTGGCCCTGGAGGCTGGGGGGGCACGGCAACCACCCGCAGGCAGTGGCGTGGCGGCAGCAAGCGGGGACCACCCACAGGCAGCCGCACTGACATTGGCAGTGAGGGTGGGCCAAGCGGGGACCACCCGCAGGTGGCTGCGGCAATGTTGGTTGCAGGGGAGGTCTGGTGAGCGGGAACCGCCTGCAGCCACCCATGTGGGGGGGGGGGGGGGGGCTGCCCACAGAAGCTGGCGGCAGCTTTGGCAGTGGCCAATCTTGGTGAGGGGCATGTGCCCTCCTGTGCCTCCACTACACATTGCCTATGCTGGGAGGGGAGGATTTGCAATTCATGAGCCACACCTGAAATGAGCTCTCCAATTTTCCCACCTAGAATAAGCAGAATCTCTTACCTGGCTGCCGTGAGTGGCTTGACTCAGGAAACAAGCATGTGGAGCTTTGCTCTGCCAACAAGTCCCAGACATCCTCTGTGTCAGAACAATCTGCACCAGAACAGAGGCCTTGAGGTTAACTTGCACATGGACTTTAGGTCTTGGGTCCTGAGCATCATAAACCCTGAGCCCTCAAGGGATGCATCAGAAAGGGGTTTATATCCCCTAGAACATAAGAGTTTGTAAATCCCACCTGCAGCTGGGAGTCATATAGTACAGCCCAAGATACTGATTAAACACTGCCTTTATACCATTTAATGTCAAACAGGGTTATTGGGGAAAGCTCCAGTTCCAACTAAGCAGGAGAAACCATCAGCAGTGGGTAGGGGAGCTCCATTATAGCCCAACCCTTAATGGCTCCCAGAGCATCTACCTACCATGACAACTGTCCAAAGGCAATGCACATCTCAGCATGATCTGCTGAGGATATACAAGAGATATGGTCACCTTGACATGGGGTACCAACTCTTACATCACTGAATGAAGATAGAAATGCCAGCCCACGGTACCACAGGGATAAAAGTTTTTATTTATTTACTAGCCAACTGCACATCAAAAATGACCTGGGTGGGGATGTCCCTGGGATGGAGTGCCACCACCTAACACCCCATGCTGCCGCTGTGCTGTCTCTTGCAGGGTGCGGGGTGGGAAGCGCTGCTGGCCTCGGCTCCCCCACCCTCTGTCCAGTCCTTGGCACAGCTTTGGAATCATGGCAGCACTCCCCCATGCTTGGAGCACTCTGATTGGCTGTTTCCGTCAGCAAATCAGAGTGTGAATAAAGCATTATGGGCAGACAGACAGACTTAAGCTTTTATTATATTAGAATTTATTTTTTTAACAGAAGGGGCCTGGGGCTCAATGTCCGAAGAAGGAGTGATAGAAAACTCGGCTAAAGGGATGAAGGGAGATTTCATGCCACAACAACCATAATTAAGGGAAGAAGGAAAACAGTTACCTGTATCTACATCATTGTATTGAACTGAGTGAGAAACACACCTGGCTGGACACAGATCAGGGCAGGGGAAGCTGTCTGAGGTCAGTACCTTGGGATGGCAACTCAGGGCAGGACTGCAGGGTTGCAGCTCCCTCTGTCACTTTGGCACTCAGTGGTGCTAAGGAGGTAGGGCCAGGAAAATTTCCACAACTCACCTGAAAACAGGCCCTCAAACCACGCACTTTCTCCAGGCTCCTTATCATCACCAACCCAAAGCTCCCCCTGTCCTCGCTGGATGCGGCAGATCAAGTCTGGTGTGGGACCTCGACATCCTGTGTGGGGAAAAATGGTGGTTATGTGTAGTAACTCTCCACCGAGTGCCCAAAGGGGATTTTGGGAATGGATACAATGGACACAACCATTCTAAGGGGGACCTGAAGGAAAACGGAAGGTGGACATGCAGCATTGAGGATGTGCCACTCCACGCAGAAACCTTCAATAAATGATGGCTCATCACTCAGGTAAATGGTGATTTCATGGTCACATCAAATGTAAAGCATCTATAATGAGCTGAGGGTAATCAGGCTGAGTCACACTGCTTATATAAGCTTAGAAAACGCAGCAGAGAGCTGCCTGGGCAACAAACCACTTTGCTGCATCTCTGGCCTCCTTTGAACTTCTAAACCTAACCCTGCACACTGAAGTTCTGGCCTGTTACTCTCCTGTCTGTTTCTGCTTCCTCCTGTTCCCAGATCTTGTCCTGGATCAATTACTTGCCCTGACCACAACATCATCTCGACCTTTGGGCTGATGATCTCTCAGACTTGGACTGATACCCAGCTCCAGTAACCCCCTGACCTAGCACGTTCTACTTGGACTGACTTCCTACGGTAGGGGTGGGCAATTATTTCGGGTGGAGGGCCGCTTACCCAGTTTTGGCAGGCTGTCGAGGGCCTCATGGGTAGCCCCGCCCCTTGACAGGTGCCGCACCCCCTTGTCACCATCTTGGGACCAATGTCCCAGGGCCAGCACCAGTGGGGCCCAAGCGGGGCACAGGCTGGCAGGGGTCTGTGGAGCCGGGCTGGGCTACACCAGCAGGGCGAGTGGGGAGCTGGCCTGGCTCCACAGAGTCCCCGCTGGCTGGGACCCTGCGCTCCTGCCACCCTGCTCTGGGCCCAACGGCACTGGCCCCAGGACATGGGTGTGGGCCCACAGGCTCCCACACCTGCTCATTCCCAGTGCCCCCCAGCCCCACGGTACAGGCGGAGGGCAGCGCACAGCCCTGACCCCCTGCTTGCCAGCAGGGAAGGAGCTGGTGCTGAGCGCGGGAAAAGCAGCCCATCTCCCACCTCATGGCCAGCATTCCTGAGCAGGCACAGCCAGCCCCACGCAGGCTGCGAGTGGCTACAGGGGGGGGCACCAGCCACGAGGCAGGTGAGGGGCCACTTTTCCCATGCTCAGCCCCAGGTTGTAACCCGCCCTGCTGCCAGCCTGGGCCCCACAGCGGCGGCAGCAGCAGCAGCTGTGGCCCCCGCACTTGCCGCGCTGGGCAGCGTTTGCTGCTGGTGCTGCCTGCCCAGAGCCCGCACGCTGGGCAGCCCAGAGGCGGTGGTGGCAAACACTGTCCGGCGCGGTAAGTGGGGGTGGCCACAGCTGCTGTCACCGCCGTGCAGCCCCAGCAGGCGAGCCCAGAGCCGGCACGGGGCACAGGCTGGCAGTGGGGCTGGGTTACAAACAGGTGCTGAGCACGGGAAGGGAAAAGCGGCCCCTCCCCCGCCCCCCGCGCTGCGGCTGCCTGCACCAGCTCAGGACAGCCCCGCACC